TATATTAACTGTTTATAAGTACCTACCTGCAATTTTGTAAAACAACTGTGATTTTTTATATTTAACATTTATATTTATTGTATTTATTCAAATTCAAACAATTTTTAAATACAATCCAAAGTGTATTTTTTGTAATCCGTGCGAATCCTACTGACCGCGCCAATTATGTTTTTCATAAAGAAAAACATTTAATTTTACAAAATTCCTAGGTTTGAATAGTTACAATATGAAGTTTAAACAAAGAGGACTGAAGACAACATATGTACATATATTTATGAACTATAAAGTGAACACTAAAAAAATATTAAATATAATTAATGAAGCAAGAAATCTTCATATGACTTACTTCATATTTTTCATGTATTTTTTTATTAAAGTTTATAACTCCCTATTGGTGTTCAAAATTATCACACCATTCCGAAATTTAGACAAAAGAACTAGTACATATATCAACCATTATTTCTTCATATTATTATCATTATTGTTATTTTTTTTTTTTTCATCAGAAAACTGGACTTTCCTCCAGTCACTGTTCACTGATGGTTCAATTTTAATTCTCCCATATTCTATATATCTCTTGTGACAGTAAATAATTAAGTCAAACCATTGTATGGTGTGATAATTTTGAACAGTAGTATATAATATAATTATAATAAATCGTCCCTATAAATAAAACCAAACTGCCACCCTTAGAACAATTTGTTGATGGCATTTCATCTCTTTTAAGATTTCTTACATTCAATTTACATACGATTCAATTTATTAATGCACCGAGAGGGTGCCCGATCAGTCTTTTCTAATGTAAATATTTTTATGGCCAGGATTTAGAAAGGATTTAAAAGTGTAATAGATTTTTGATGGTTTAATATATGATTGGGGGAAGGAGATTTAGTTACTTACATAAATTAATTGAAGTCAAATGTGATTAAATAGCTGTGTTATGTTTTATTAAAAATTAATCTTTTCGTATACAAACGTTAAGATTTTTATGATTTCTACGTAGTTATAAGACAAAATGTTTTTTTAAAAAGATATAGAATGCAAAGAAATATAGTAAATGAAGCAGTTAAAAAGCCAAAAAAAAGACGTCAGTAGAGATTTTGGAAGAGAAATAACAGAATGCATTAGTTACAAGTAAAAGGACAGAAAAAAGAAATAAGAAATATAAAATATAAAAATAATAAACTGGAAACAGAAGGAACAGAAATAATAGAAACCTGGAAAAACACTATAAAAACAAATTTGTCGATATACCTTTATCAGTCTACCTTTATGTGTGATTGATTTTAAACAAATTAATTTTATGTGGGATTGGTTTTGACAAAATTTATTTTATGTGGGATTGCTTTAGATAATATAAATTTTATGAGGAATTGATTGATTTTGGGTATAATTTTCTTACTAATTTTATGTACCTATTTTTATTATTTATTATATTGTGCTTTTACCAATATATTTTAATCAAATTAATTTTATATTGAATCAATTTTATTAAAATAATTTTTTATTGAATTGATTTTTTGTTTCTATGCTTTAATCATTTTTATGTTCGAATTATTTTGATAAAATTACCTAATTTTATGTTGAATTGATACTGACAAAATTGATTTTGGATATTATTTTTCTTACTAATTTAATGTATCTATGATTTTGATCGAATTAATTTTATGTGGGATTGGTTAAGACAAAATTAATTTTATGTGCGATTGCTTTCAATAAAATGGAATCGATTTTAATGAATTCATTTTTGTGGGATTTATTTTGTCTTGATGCCTTAATAATTATTTTTATGTGTAATTGGTTTTGATCAAATTAATTTTATGTGTGATTGGTTTTGAAACAATTCATTTTATGTGGGATTGATTTAGATACAAATCATTTTATGAGGGTACTATTTTCTCACTAATTTTATGTACCTATCATTTTATTACTATTATTGGATTGTGTTCTTTCCACCATATTTTGATAAAATTAATTCGTATGTGGGATTGGTTTAATTTAAATAATTTCATGTGTGTTTGATTTTGTGTTTCTATGCCATAAGAATTTTATGCGGGATTAATTTTGGGTATAATTTTCTTGCTAATTTTATGTACGTATCATTTTACTGCCATTATTATATTGTGCTCTTTCCACCACTTTTTAATGACATTAATTTGATATGGGATTGGTTTTAATAAAATAATTTTACGAGGGATTGATTTTGTGTTTCTGTGCCTTAATAATTTTATATTCGATTTATTTTAATAAAATTATTATATGTGGGATTGGTTCTGACAAATTTAATTTGATGTGGGATTGAGTTTGGGTATCATTTTCTTATTAATTTTATGTGGGATTAATTTAGATATATTTTTATGAATTATTAATTTTGTGTATAATATTCTTACTGTTTTTGTGGATCTATCATTTTACTGCGTTATTATTTTATTATTTTTCCACCACATTTTGATAAAATGTATTTTATATTGAATCGATTTTAATGAATACAATTTTTGTGAGATTAATTTTGTGTTTCTAAGCCTCAATAATTATTTTTATGTGGGATTGATTTAAATACCAATAAAAATATGAGGGATTGATTTTGGACCATTTTCTTACTAATTTTATGTACCTTTCAATTTACTAGTATTATTATATTGTGTTCTTTTCACCACATTTTATAAAATCAGTTTGATACGGAATTAATTTTAATGAAATAATTTTATGTTTTAATAATTTTATATTCGAATTATTTTAATAAAATTATTATATGTGGGATTGGTTCTGACAAAATTAATTTGATGTGGAATTGATTATGAGTATCATTTTCTTATTAATGTGGGATTAATTTAAATAAAATTTTTATGAATGATGGATTTTGGGAAAAATTTTCTTACTCTTTTTGTGTACTTATCATTTTACTGCGGTATTATTTTATTGTGTTCTTGTCACCACATTTTGATAAAATGCATTTTATATTGAATCGATTTTAAGGAATAAGTTTTTTGTGGGATTGATTTTGTGTTTTTATGCTTTAATAATTATTTTTATGTTTGACTGATTTTTATCAAATTAATTTTATGAGGGATTGGTTTTGACACAATTCATTTTATGTGGGATTGATTTAGATAAAAATCATTTTTTGAGGGATTGATTTTTGGTAATTTTCTTTCTAATTTTATGTACCTTTCAATTTACTAGTACTATTATATTGTGTTCTTTCCACCACATTTTGATCAAATTAATTTTATGTGGGATTGTTTTTGATAAAATTAATTGTATGAAGGATTGATTTTGTGTTTCTATGCCTTAATAATTTTGTTATGTTGATAAAATTTCCTAATATCATGTGGACAACATTAATTTTATGTGGAATTGATTTTGTGTAACATTACCTAACTATTTTTATGTGGGATTCATTTAAATCAAATAAATTTTTAAGTGGGATTGGTTTTAAGTACCATTTTCTTAATAATGTGTACCTACCTATCACTTAACTGTACTATTATTGTATTGTGTTTTTTCCACCACATTTTAATCAGATTAATTTTATGTAGGATCGATTTTAATAAAATAATTTTTTGAGGGATTTGTTTTGTGTTTTTATGCCTTAATAATTTTTATGTGTGATTGATTCTGATCAAATTAATTTTATGTGGGATAGGTTTTAACATAATGAATTTAATGTGAGATTGATTTTGTGAATTTTATATGGGATTGATTTAGAGAAAATAAGGTTTATTTTGTGAAAATATTATTTTATTTCGCCAGTATTGGATTGTATTCTGTCCACCACATTTTGATCAAATTAATTTTATATGTGATCGGTTAAAGAAAATTATGTGGGATTGATTTTATGTTTTTATGGCTTAATATTTCTTATATATGACTGATTTTAATCAAATTAATTTTATGTAAGATTTGTTTTGAGTAGAATTAGATTTATGTGAGATTGATTTTGTGTATCACTGTCTTATAATTTTATGTGGGATTGTTTTAGATAAAGCAAATTTTATGAAGGAGCGATTTTAAGTATTATTTTCTTACTAATTTTCTGTAACTATCTTACTACGCCTATTATTATATGGGATCAGTTTTAATAAAAAAAATTTAAGGGATTTGTTTTGTGTTTCTATGCTTTAATAATTTTTATGTGTGATTAATTTTGAACAAATTAATTTTATGTGGAATTGGTTTTGACAAAATTAATTTTATATGGGATTGTTTTTTAATAAAATCATTGCATATAAGATTGATTTTAATAAAATTAATTTTATGTGGGATTGGTTTTGATTAAATGCATTTTATATGGGATTGATTTTGATTAAATGCATTTTATGAGGGATTAACTTTAGGTATCACTTTCTTACTAATTTTATATACCTATTATTTTACTACATTATTACTGTATTGTGCTCTTTCTACCAAGAGTGGCTCATAATGTGCACCCCTTTGTGTGACCCGAGAAATCTTAATGTAAACCCAGAATCAGAAGAATGAACGTCACATTCGGGAGTTCCGGGACAAAATGATGATGTTGACAAACCTATTAAACACTTTCAAACTAAACTTCTGCGATTTTTACATGTAACTAATGAATTATACTGATTTGACGGATAAGTAGATTAAACCTGTCAAAAGTGTGTGAGTTATTAGGTCAGATTGATGTTTTTGTGGTTAAACTTTAGGGAGTTAATAAAAATTACTACTTGTTGATGAAGACCAAAACTATCTCAAAATATACTCACAACACAAGTCGTAAATTCTAAAAATCAATTAATTTTCTCGTGTTATACCGACGTAATCAACGATCTGAATATAGGTAGGTAAAGTTAAATGATCTTAATTCACTGTAAATATCACTATAAATAATCATTTGAAATATATTATGCACAGGCAAAAACCTAAGGAAAATCCTTATGACTGCGCCAATTTCATTTATGTCAGGTAACCGCATAATTTTGATTCTGCGTCGAATTGAAATGTTTCAAAAAGCGAAAGTTTTAATAAAAACTCACCATTAGGATGACACTGAAGTTGCTCAGGTGAACACGGTTGATGTAACTGGTTTATTTGCTGCGAAATTGTACAGTCCATGTTTGTACCGATTTAACGAAATTGCACTGCTTAATTTATAACGCACCAATACGAAACATTACTATAAACAAAACGTAGTTGATCAAAGATGAGTGGAACTTTTGAAGGAGGCGATTAACCTTGTTTAGTGTTGATCAAAAGCTAGAATATCAAGAAATGAGCGATTATACGCTGATCGGCTCAAGAGGACGGTGTATCATCTCTTGTATGAAGGGGGCGGGGATCAGAAAACGCCACCCAGTGTTTAACTTCTGGTCGTGGCTCGCGGCTGCGCTCTGCTTGATGCCATGGTGATGCGTCAACCCCTTTTTTGGCCCGATGATGCCGTGCCGCCGAACTACTAGACTGTGATATTTTTCATTTTCCTCTTTTCCTCTCTGGCTCTGCTCTTCGCGGCTCCGGTCCCCTTTGCAGCGATGCCCGGATTAGAGCGGGGTTAAACGACTCCGGATGTGTTTTATGGGGTGTTTTTACAGAGTGATTTCGCTTTTGAGAGATTGGTTTCGTTAATCGTTCGGTTTTCTTAAAACGCTATTTTAAAAAATTGATGACGTATCTTTGATAGAAAATTCTGCTCAATAATCTTTTGGTTTATTTTTAAAATGTGGTAAATGGAAGAGATTTTTTTAACGTGCTATATACTTAATGTATGTCTCTGGTTAAAATAAATTTTACTTAGTCAAAACATGTCTAGAAATTAAAAACGATCTAACAAAGAATAGGCGCCTCCAAGATTTTTTTTAGAGAGGAACAAAAATGCAATTTTGTGAACCTAACCTTTAAAGCAGTAGCGGCTCGTAGTAATTTAAAAAGGGTGTACCAATAATTTTATTATTAATGAATATTTTAGTCATTGTAATATTTGTTTTAATATTAATACGTTGAAAACAATTTATAAACATTATTATTTATAGTCAGCTGACTTTTCTTCATTATTTTTAAATATATATCAGGTTATGTACAAAGCTTGACATTGATTTTAGTGTAAAAAATATTAGATGAAACTTTACCTACCGCTTTTCGGTTTTTATTGTAAATTTCATCATTTTCACAATATGTCACACATGTCAAATTAAATAATATATTTTTTTGTATAGTTTTGAGACATATAGATGTTTCTTAAAATATTTCTCATAAATTTAAAAATATTATTGCATGCTTACTTTTCAAAATATTAGTAGGCTAAAGAGTTGTTTTAATTAGTGGGCCGTATCTTGGGGAGACATTTTGAATAGTAACTTTAAAAATAATAATAATTTTTTATAAGCTGACTTACACCACTATTGCTTACACACTTAAGGAAAAATGCCATACAATGATATTGAAGAATAAACTTTTAATTTTAATTTCCTCAAATCAAGCAATAAAAAACTAACAGCAAAAATAAAAAAAAACTAGTACCAAAACAACAATAATGAGAATATTACAGTTTTAGCCCAACACATTTTCAGTATCACTTCCATCCTGCAATTCAGTAAAGAAAGTGTGGTGGATGGGTGGAATGAAAGGAAGCAGAACCATCAAGTCCTTTCTTTGTAACTGTTACTGGGCGAGGCGATTTGCTAAGAGGTTCCATGACAATATTTGCAAGGGAAGCAATGCGCCTACCCCTTCTCATCGTTCAAAGTTTTTTATAATAGATTTTAAAAGGTTGGTCTTTCTGGTATCTCAACCACTGTATTTTCAACCATGAGACTTTTTATTTAAAATGTTAACTTTTCTTCAGGTGATCGATTTCTCGAGGGAGCTTGTTGATTTCAATTTGTTTTGAGTCGTACCCTTCACCTGGAATGGCTTTTTCCGTTTGAATTTTGAAATGGCATTATACCAATCATTTGGCACAAACATAACTCTTCCTTTCTCAATTGCTCAATAACACCAAAATCAGCATCGTTTGGCATAACGGATTGACCACTAACCATGAAATTGTGATCAATCGTTTTTATCGGACAATCCTCCTGTTGAATAAAATTCATAACATCTAATGCAACTTTAATATTTCGGTTTTGGCTACTACAACTGTCACTAAACTTAATTACGTGGTTAATAGTAGTGGAAAGGTTATGATTCAAGTATTCTCTGATGCATGATGCTATTTCTTGAAAGCACCAAGACCCTACAACTTCGTTCCATACTTTTTTTAAATAAAAAATATTAGCTGAATAAACGAATTACTATCCATTTAATATCAAACTTGACATTTGACGATTGAAAGCGGTACAGGGAAAAGTGAAGTAAGTCAGACTTACACCACTACTGCTTCTACAGAAAACAACGATTTCAGTGCCCACACTTTTTCATCTACTTTTAATTTTACCATATGAAGATTTACGAATTACTTCACTATTGCGTTAAATGGAATTATCACTGAACAGTGTATTTAATCAGTAATCTCTATAAGGAAAAAAAATTACTTACACCACTTTTCCTGTCACAGGCTCAAATAGTCTTCACAGGCGACTATCTGAAGAGTTTAATAATAATATAATCAACACTAAAACAATAACATAACAGACTAAAAAAATAAATACAATAAAAAAATGATAAATTCAAAGTTTTGAAAATTATTTAATGGGTAATCAGTGCCTGGAAGGTAAACTGCAGTCATTCAACTTTTTAGTAGAGCAGACTGAATGTTGTTTGTTCACTTTTGTGTTCCATATTTACATATATCAATTATATTTCGACAGGAAATGCAGTTAGCCCCAATTATTGTCACAATATGTATTGTTTAGTAAAAATATAATAAAACTTTTTTTAATATACATGACTTGTTAGTTTTGGTAACATATTTCTATGTTCTGATAACAATTTTTCTATGACATAGTATCATATACCTCCAACATGCCTCTATAAATAGTACGACATAGTTCAGTTTACCTCCCAGATACTGATATCGGTAAATATTTATTTAGGTCTTCATAATATAGGTACATACCTAACATAGACACAACTACTTAGTTTCTTTAAATAATTTAGCCGAGTGTAATATTTATTTTTTATATCGTCTTTAAAAAAAACTCTAATGTAAGTTTATCTTCCATTTTTTTTGTAAATGCATGCGACACCATCATTCGAGTTAAATCCTCACCGATACATTAGTCTGACACTGTTTATCAGTATATCTAGCATTTATAGATAGGACATATTTCTATAACTTCAAATTCATTAGGGATAACCTACAAAATAAAACAATTATTCATACAAAATTGTACAGACAGGCCTTAAAAATAATGGGTTTTAAAATATATGATATTTAAATACTTTACTATACATTAATATCAAAGTTGACAATCTCCACATTTCATAAAAATCTAATTAGACCTACCAACGGATGGATACTTCTTGAAAAAAGTATATTGGAGCAAAATAAGCAAAAACATAGTTTATAATAGTAATCTTCATCATGCCTGTTATTTCAAAATCAGCAATCTTCTATCTATTAGTTAAAAAAAAAACAATATGTAACTGTTTAAATTAAATAGTAAATAAATAATTACTTTAAAGCTTTATACTCCTATAATTACATTATTCTCTAAATATCCATAATTAAGACTATATTTAGCAAAAACTGAATTGGCAATACATTTTTATATATTTAAAACAAAAAACTGATCTCCTGAAATAACTCTTAAGTGGAGATTACCAACTTTGATACTAGTAATTTGTATATAAAGAAAGTAACTTATAAAATAACTAATAATGTTACGGCTGTATAAAATTATTGACTATTGTACTGATCTCGCTATAGATTAAGTAAATATTTGCTAAATGTCATTCTGACTTTGTGGCTATGAAAAAATGATTTCGCTGTAGGTCCAAACAAAAACAATATTATTTGACTATTGTACTGATCTCGCTATAGATAAAATAACTATTTGCTGGATGACAATCTGACTTTGTGGCTATAAAAAAACTGACCTTTCTGTAGGTCCAAAAAAAAACAATATTATTTAACTATGTTACTGATCTCGCTATAGATAAAATAAATATTTGTTGGAGGTCAATCTGACTTTGTGGCTATTACACCATTTAATTAAATGCCCGGCTTTATGTGCTCAGCTTAACTTCCTAGTTCCAAGAATTAATTCCAGTTACAGCTGCACATTCATTCTTCCCACTCCCAGAACAAACTTATTATGTCAGTCTCCATTGTACCATAGGCTGTCCACGGTTAATGACTCGAGTAAAGAAATTGACCTATTTTGTACTACCATCTCAAAGATTAAAAAACTTTATTCCTGATTTATATCCATATATTCCTAATTAAAATATTTAGTGTAATGTAATTTAGTGTAATTAAGTTTTTTATGTTTTTGTATCTAATTTCATCTTTATATATTAGTTGTTTCGCATGCGATATGTGTGAGTAACCTTTTTTCTCCACTGGAGTTTTTTTCAGATTACTCATACAATCTCATTTATAGTTTTACTTTAAAAATTGTTTTGCTTTTATTGTATTATTTACAAATATATGTTTATTAATGTTAAGTGCGCATTCTGTAATAGGCCTTGGCCGTTGAATGTAAGAATAAATAAATAAAATAAATAAATAAAAAATGAACTTCGCTATAGGTCCAGATATAAACAATAATAATTTACTAGTGTGCTGATCTCGCTGTAAATCAACTAAATATTTGCTAAATGCCAATCTAATTTTGTATTTGTGACTATGAAAAATTGACTTCGCTATAGGTCCAAACAAAAACAATATTATTTGACTATTGTAGGTACTGTTCTCGCTATAAATCAAGTAAATAATTTTTGCTGAATGTCAATCTAATTTTGTGTTTGTGACTATAAAAAATTGACTTCGCTGTAGGTCCAAACAAAAACAATGTTAATTAATTAACTATATTGTACTGATCTCGCTATAGATAAAATAAATATTTGCAGGATGTCAATCTGACTTTGTGGCTATGAAAAATGGACTTCGCTATAGGTTCAAACAGAAACAGTAGTATTTTTCTAGTGTGCTGATCTCGCTATAAATCAAGTAAATATTTGCTAAATGACAATCTGATTTTGTATTTGTGGCTATGAAAAATTGACTTCGCTATAGGTCCAAACAAAAACAATATTATTTGACTATTGTAGGTACTGTTCTCGCTATAAATCAAGTAAATAATTTTTGCTGAATGTCAATCTAATTTTGTGTTTGTGGCTATAAAAAATTGACTTCGCTGTAGGTCCAAACAAAAACAATGTTAATTAATTAACTATATTGTACTGATCTCGCTATAGATAAAATAAATATTTGCAGGATGTCAATCTGACTTTGTGGCTATGAAAAATGGACTTCGCTATAGGATCAAACAGAAACAGTAGTATTTTTCTAGTGTGCTGATAAATCAAGTAAATATTTGCTAAATGACAATCTAATTTTGTATTTGTGGCTATGAAAAATTGATTTCGCTGTAGGTCCAAAGAAAAGCAATGTTTTTGACTATATTGTACGATCTCGCTATATATTAAATAAATATTTGCTGAATGTCCATCTGACCTTGTGGTTATGAAAAATGGATTTCGCTATAGGTCCAAACAGAAACAAATGTTATTTGACTATTATACTTATCTCGCTATAGATCAAGTAAATGCTTGTCGAATATCAATTTGACTTTGATCTTATTGATTTCGTATGAGTCCAAACAATAAATAATGTTGTAAAAATAAAAAATCACAATATTGTCTAAAACAAAGTTATTTTACTATTATACTGATTTCGTTATAGAACAAGTAATTACTTGCTATATATAAATTTAACTTTGTTGCTATGAAAAATTCACTTCATTATAAGTCCGAACAAGGTTACTTGCAGTGGCGGCTTGTGAGCAAAAAATTGGGGGTTCACAATGACAGAATATAGATCTCGTGCAGTAGAGATTTAGGTAAAAAACTTTCAGTGTTTATAACTTATCTTTCTAAGTTAAAGTGTTCCATTGCCATTACTAAATTAGCCTTTATACCGGATGTTGAAAATTAGGAAAAAATGTCGTTTCTAAACAGAATTTTATATCTTCTGATAAATAGTTTTGAGAATGTGACGTGTGTATTTTAAACTATCCCCATTAATTTATCACACATTCAATAATAGGATCCTTAGCAGTTTATGGCTAAAGTGAGGTAAAGTTAAATGAATATATTTTCCTTGTTATATTTTTTTTTTCGACAGCTGCAATGGCCCCCTTATATAACCGCCACTGCTTACAGTCCAATTAAAGTCGCTTTTATGTAACATTTCAACATAAATTAACTAACTAGAGACTTGAGATTCGCTGTTAATCAGATAAATACCTACCCCGCTCGAAGTAAAGTTACCCGCTTCGCTTCTACACCCCTTATAACTTAGTAAATACATTTCACCTCGAAAGCAACCAAAAATAACGACCGTTATTTTCGTAAAGTGTAGCGTTTTATCATTTACAACGACTCCATATCGAAAATCCGGGTCCTATACCATCTACCTTTACCCATTCACCCAGCGAAGACCGGCATCGGCAAGCAGATACAGGCTGAGCTGCAGACGACAAAAATCAGTCACAGTCTATCTACGGATTTGATTCATGGTTGGTGGCGGCTGCCGGATGACTACGCTCATTGGTAGCATCGCGATAATCCCATTGGTCTGCGTCGGACTCCCGTCGCATTGGCGCCCCACCACTCGGATAGCTGCGATGCCCCGGATGACCTCTGCCCTCGGGGTTATTTGTCACCCCCCCGGTACATGTCACAGCCCGATGTAGGGATAACGTTTTGCGCTGTTGTCAACGCCGATGGCGGAAATTCCGCAACATAATTAAATATAACTAGAAGAAGTTATGGTTTCATTTGTTAGAAACCTAATTTTTAATAAAAATACTGACAAGTACCTATCTTTTTAGTAGTATTGTATAAATATAAGTACAATTTTCTCAGTATTCTTCACAAGGATTTTATTTTAGGTTTTATTTTCCAGTTGCAAAAACAATCATTTTAAATTTATCCTCATTGTATCAAGTCCATACCATTTAAGACAGTTTGGATATTTTTACCATCAATAAATTACAAATTAAACGCGTCTCTTCTGCAATTAACGTGTTGTAAAGGTTAATTAAATATTTGTAATATCGATTCTTAGTTAATTATTATGAAATATCAGTTAAAATGTTCAGTACCATCGTTAAACCTTTATACTGACGGTTTTTACCTATGCTATAATAATAAATAATAATAGCTGTCCAATATCAATGTCAATACATTGAATCAAGACATTAAAAAGTTACCATACCGTCAGAGGCGTAACTACCAATCTGACCTGGAAAGGGGATAGGGTGGGCCTGT